CGGGGGGTTGAGGGGGGGGGGAGAAGCAGGGGTGGGTGTGGGTGTTGTAGTGCAGAGAGAGGTACCTACCTGAAGGTTCTTCTTCTTTTTTTTTTTTTTTTTTGAGTGTTTTTCACTTTAGGGCGTGTGCGCTCGCCAGAAAGACAGAGAGAGACAGAAAGCGAGAAATCACTCCCCAGCCTGGCGCACCGGGTAGTATTCTGTCTCAGGCCTGGGTCAGACGCGATCCTGACTTCTAGGTTCCTGACTTCGCTGGACCTCAGCAGCATCACGGCGACACTGGGGCTGTCACTTGGCCTCTCTCTGTAGAAGGTGGCCCTGGCATGCTGACATCTGAGAAGGACCTGCAAGGCCTCGCCTGTCTGCCTCCTTGAGGACACCAGCGCATCCTGGTGAGCAGAACCTGGGCCCATAATGGAGCCTACATCCTGGCGCCTTCAGACAAACGTACCCGTTTTGACCACACCTAATACCAAGAGAGCTCCTGGAGGTCCCCTCAGGCACTCTGCTGTTTTTAACTTCCCATCTGCCCTGTGGGGCAGGGAGCTCTGGGCCCTGCTTATTCTCTTTTTGCCCTGTAGTTGTTTCTTTCCATCTTAGAAGAGACATTTGTCTCTCTTTCTTGCCTTTTTTTTTGGGGGGGGGTTGCTATAGCGCTCGAGCAATAGTCAGACAGAGACAGAGGGACAGACACCCCCCAGGGGGCTTGGCCACTCCTCAATCCCTTCTCCATTCTCCTCTTGGGGTCTTGGACACACATCCACAGGGGCCCAGCATGAGTTTAAGCCACCAGGTCCAGGACTTGAACTACATGGGAGTCCAGCGACCTAACCATTACGCCAACTGCTGGTCCCGAGAAAGACTGAGAGAGACAGAGAGATAGAAAGCGAGAAATCATCCCCCGGGGGGATGGCCACGCCGCAATCCCTTCTCCTCTATTCTCCTCCCGGGATCTTGGGCACGCACGCACGCACATGTGCCCAGAGTGATTTTAAGCCGCCGAGTCTGGGACTCAAACCACAGTTGACCACATGGGAGTCCAGCGACATAGCCATTCCGCTCACTGCTGGTCCCACCTACCTGAAGGTTCAAAGAGCCTAGAGGGATGGGTGGGGAACAGCCCTGTTCTTGGAAGCTTGCTCTACTGACCTCTGCCCCAGGGTTTGTGCTCCCTGGGACTCTCCAGGAAAGAAGATGTCCCTCATATCTCCAGAAAGGTCTGGGTCCCAAGGCCTGGTTCAGCATATAAAAGGGGCCATTGGGTGGGTCCTATAGGTGGCAGGTGGTTAGGGTGCTGGACTCTCACATGGCTGACTGAGGTTCGAGTCCTGGACCTGGCAGCTCTCTCTCTCTCTCCTTCTCTTGCGCGCGCACGCGTGTGCACACATGGCCTGTAGAAAATAATAGTATAATAAATAAAATAATTCTTAAAAGGAGGGGCTGAGAGAATGTGGCCCCAATTGTATGGGGGCTGTCCCTTCAGTAAATCTCTCCCCAGGAGTGAGAACTCCACCTCTCGGTTTTAGTCTAGATAGATCTGCATGTCTTCAGTACAGTGTACGGTTGAGCAGGGAGACTACCAATAAGGGCAAGGAGATAAAACTATTCTGTTGGTGCTGAACTCATTTTAAACAAGATGGAAAGTAAGGGGTTTTCTTTTTGCCAATTATCTTGGCAAAAAGAAGGTATTTCTGGTTATACTTGGCACCGCAGAGCACTGGTGGCTTTATACAGGCGTGTCATCCCCCTAAATCAAGCACATGACGTCACTCAGCACTGTCCAGCGAAGCTGTAGAGAACTGGCTGAAGTAAACTCTTGCCTGCTTTTCAGGAGCCAGTCTCCTTGTCTCTTACTGCCCAGGCCTCCCAGCCTCTCTGAAGTCTGCCGGCTTGCACACCTCTTCTTACCTTGCTCTGGATGCCTCGTGACACGGCATAAAGCCATAGATCCTGGGATGGAGTGAGGTATGGGGGAGGAGGAGGACGTGCACATACACAGTGTGTCTTTCCACTAAAAATTTGATACGTGGACCAGGGGCACACCAAGTATGAGGGCTTGAGACCAGCAGTTGGCTTAATGGCTATGTTGCTGGACTCCCATGTAGTGGACTGCGGGTCAAGTCCCAGTCCCGGTGGCTTAAACTCCCACCGGGTGCCTGTGTGTGCGTACCCAAGATCCCGAGAGGAGACTGGAGGAGAAGGGATTGTGGCCTGGCCATCCCCCCTGGGGGTGATTTCTCGCTTTCTGTCTCTCTGTCTCTGTCTTTCTGGTGAGCGCATGCACCCTATAGGAAAAACCTCTCCAAAAAGAAAAAGTATCAGGGGTCTTCACAAAGTTTGTGGGGAATGTGTATTATGAAGAAACCGTGCATGGATTTCAGCTGCTTTTTTGTATCAAAATGAACTTACATATTTAACTTGATTAAGTTTTTTTTTCTTCCACGAGCAAGAAAGAGAAAGACAGATAGCAGCCCAAGTGGGTCTTGACACTGATCCACTCAGCTTCAGCCAGCCCCAGATCGGGGGCACCTGCATGTGCCCTTCACTCATGATAGGCACACACATGCCCCCTGGAACTCAGAGTCCCACCATTTGGACTCCACTCTGAACTTTTCTTTTTTTAAAAAATAATTATTTTTATTTAACTTTATTTATTTATTTATTTATATTTGACCAGAGAGAGAGAGAGAGAGAAAGTGAGAAAGCAAGCTGCCAGGGTCTGGGACTCGAACTGCAGTTGGCCATGTGGGATTCCAGCAACTTTCACCACTATGCCACCTGCTGGCCCACCACTGTGACCTTTTGGAATTCCCCTCATAGACTCCAGGTAGAAAACAAAAACATTATTGCATGACTTGAACAATAATAAAGTTGCCAGTAAAGTGCTGTGGGACCAGAGAGGAGGGCTTGAGAGCCAGCCTGGAAGAGGCAACTTTTGACCTGAGCCTTCCAGGTGATGGAAGAAGGGGTTTTCATCACAGAGGAAAGGATGGGTGGCCAGCAGGCTGGGCTCAGGCTGCACCAAGAAATGAGGAGGAAGCTAGGAAGTGAGACGAAGAAAGATTAAGAGGAGGTGGCCAGATGGGAAAGGGAGAGCAAGATAGACGGACAAGGAGAAAAAGGAGGATCTAGGCTCAGCCTGTGGTATGGTGATTAAGGCGACTAGATCCCACATGGTTGACAGTGTAGATCGAGTCCCAGACCCATGTACATGTGTCTCCCCAAATCCTGAGAGGCAAATGGAGGAAAAGGGGGTGCGCTCTGTCTCTCTTTGAGCATGTACCCTATGTTAAATTAAAAATACAAAAACAAAAGATTTAGAGCACTATCCAGAATTACTTAAAACCAGATAAGAGAATTGCAGGCCTCAGGATGCCGTAGGGACAGATCCAATGTAGATTCCTGAGCTCTAGCATAGACCTAAAAAGTCATTCCAAGGGCCAGCAGGTGGCATAGAGGTTACATCACTGTACTCCCACGTGGCTGCCTGCAGTATGAGTCTCGGACCTGGCAACTTGAAACTTACACCAGGCATGTGTGCGTGCATGCCCAAAATCCCAAAGGGAAAGTGGAGGATAAGGGATTGTGACATGGGCATTCCTCTCTGGGGATTTATTTCTTGCTTTCGGTCTCTCTCTGTTTCTCTGGCCCATGCCCCATGGCAAAAATCTCTCTCTAAAAACAAAAAAGTCACTCCAGAATGGGGTCTAAGAGTTTGAGCTTGACCACACCCTTCCTGTCCCTGCCCTCACTATAGATGACCCTGAAACATAATAAAATGTGAGAATCTCTGTCCTGAAGAATTCCTCTGGGGCCAGCTAGTGGCATGGTGGCAAAGTTGGCTGGATTCCACATGGCGGACTATAAGGTTCGAGTCCCAGTCTTGGCAGCTTGAAAAACACACCAGGCATGTGTGTGTTTGTGTGTGTGTGTGTGTGTGTGCACACAAAATGCCACGAGGAGTATGGAGGAGAAGGGATTGTGGCATGGCCAGCCCCCACCCCCACCCCGGGGTTGCTCTCCAGTGTGTGAATGCACCCTCGAGCAAATTTAAGAAAACTGAATAACATTTTTAAAAAAAGAACTCCTCTTGGAAGTTACTTTCCGTTTTCAGAGCAAATTTAAGAAAATTGAGTAACATTTTTTAAAATAGAACTCCTCTTGGAAGTTACTTTCCGTTTTCAATCATTGAATCTGTCCTCCAGGCCTAACCTAAGAGATGAGTGACTAGGGAATTAATATAGAAAATGGAAAATCATTTTGTTTGTAGGTAGGTATCTGTAATTTGCCTTATGTTTCTTACCAACTACCCAGAAGGTAGGTAGCCATTATCATATAACCTCTTGTACAGATTAAAAATGAGCCTTGGTGGACCAGCAGATGGTGTAATGGTTGCGTTGCTCAACTCCCACATAATCGACCGCAGTTTGAGTCCTGGACTTGGTGACTTAACACTCACACTGGGTGCCTGTGAGTGTGTGCCCAAAATCCTGAGAAGAGAATGGCAGAGAAGGGATTGTGGTGTGTCCCTCCTCCCCAGGGGGTGATTTCTCACTGTCTCTCTGTCTCTGTCTCTCTGGCAGGCACACATGCCCGATAACAGAAAAATCCCTCAAAAAAAAAAAGAAGTTTAAGTCAGGTCAAGTGACTTGGGGGCCCAAGGCCATGCAACTATTAAATGATAGAAGCAGAATTCTCGCCTAGCTCTTTCTCATTCCAGTTGGAGAGGCAGCATGGTTCAGTGGGTTCCAGTCAACTTTACCACCATACCACAGGCTTCCCCAAAAGGAATTCCCTGGAGAATAGACTGGACTTTAGTTACGTATGTCACTACTTCACGTAAAGTAATAGTGTTTCCCCAGTTGTGCCTGCATAAACATTGCTCACCACACAGCTCAGTAATGGCCAGGTGATGTCAGTTCCCCTGGGGGTGTTCGACATCCTCTCCTTTTCCTTCAGTACTATCTGCCACTACCATACCCTGCGTTCTCCTCCCATGCTCTGGTGCGGCTGTTGGTGCCAGTCGCCTCAGAGCCCTCCCTCTGAGCTTTGTCCTCTGTGTGCTCTAGTTACCTCCAAGGCCTGTCACACAGCTGTCATCCTGGAACTTCCCCTACGACTTCCTGGGTTGGGGCCTCTATTTCCTGGCTTCCTTCTCTTCTTGCTTAACATACCCTCTCTTTACTACAACAAATTCTTTTTCAGTTAAGAATCTCTTTCTTTCTTTCTTTCTTTCTTTCTTTCTTTCTTTCTTTCTTTCTTTCTTTCTTTCTTTCTTCCTTCCTTTCCTTCCTTCCTTCCTTCCTTCCTTCCTTCCTTCCTTCCTTCCTTCCTTTTTTTCTTTCTTTCTTTCTTTCTTTTTAAATAATTATTTTAAAATTTGCTATAGGGTATGTGTGCTCACTAGAGACAGAGAGAGGAGAGAATGTGAGAAAGCAAGCTACCAGGCCTAAGACTGGACTGCACTAGGCTATGTGGGAGTCCAGTGCCCTAACCACCATGCCACCTGCTAGCCCCAAGAATCCCTTTCTAATATTAAAAAATAAAGTAAGAACGACTTTTGGACTGCCTCATAATACTTATTCCTTTAGAATCTATTCATTGAAATACACACACACACACACACACACACACACACATAATTATCATAAGGACATAAATGATTTTAAAAGAATTTGTATGTTACTATTAACATGTGAAACATTGTTAAGACTTTAGGCTTAAGGGTTAGTTCAATCTAGCATCACTCTTCTTGTTTGTTTAAAAGAGAGAGAGAGACGGAACCAGTAGTTGGCATAATGGCTCTGTTGCTGGACCCCCACATAGTTGATCGCGGTTCAAGTCCCGGACCTGGTGGCTTAAACTCACGCTGGGCACGTGTGCATGCATGCTCAAGAACCCGAGAGGAGAATGGAGGAGAAGGGATTGTGGTGTGGCCATCCCCCCTGGGGGGGTGATTTCTCACTTTCTGTCTCTCTGTCTCTCTCTGTCTTTCTGGTGAGTGTACGCACCCTATAGCAAAACCCTCTCCAAAAGAAAAAAAAGAAAAAAGCTCTGCATGCAGGAGGGAGAGAGAATGTGGGAGGGGAGAAAGAGACTTTTTTTTTGTAATTGCATGCATATGTGCCAGAGGCACAGCAACAGAGACAAAGGGACAAAGCACCCCCTAGTGGGGCACAGCCACACTGCAGCCCCTTTTCCTCCATTTCTCCATCTCGTTAATATTTTGGACATGTATGCACATCCACCAAGTTTGTTTTTCAAGTTGCCAGGGCCGGGATTCAAACCACAGTCAGCCAGGTGGGATCTAGCACCTCCAAACAATAGGCTGCAGAACCAGCCCGAGAGGTATTTTTGACCAGGTCTCACCATGTCACAGTTCTGTCCCAGCCTCCCAGGTAGTGAGGATTACGTGAGCGGATTAGTGCAAGCTACAGTGCCCAGCCTGTTTAGGTTGGGATGGGAACCACGCCTGAGCCTTCCATGCAGCCCAGCCATCATACACCACTCCCGCTTGTACCACTGCAGCAGGGTCGAGCGTCAGTCTCTGGTCCTCCGTTCTTCTCATTCCCGTGTCGTTTGGTAACAGAACCTTGATCTTATTTTACTTCAGGGATGAGTCTCTTCCATTCCCTGTGATTCTGCTGGCTTTGAGTGACTAGTTTAAAGCCCTACTCCAGGATGAATATATGATTACGACTAGCCAGCTGGAGTCTCCTCTTCCAAGGCCATGGTTTAAGCAGGCCAATCACAGGCCTTCTGAAGAATGGCTTTTCTCCAAGCCACTTGGAATCACCGATGGCTGATTGTAGACATGAGGCATGAGTCTTCCTAAGACTGAAGCCGTCACGGAGGAAAGCAGAGCCCAGACAAATGGGAACAGGAGAATGTTAGAGCCATGGATACAGCCAGCCTTAAGCCCGAGGCTTTCCTATGATAGGAGCTGATATGTCTGTTGTTTTTGTGAAAGCATGTTTAGTTGGATTCTTTCACGTGGAACACAGAGAGACCTAACCAATTTGGTATCTTTTTGGACTTGGGCAAGTTACCTATTGTGGCTTCCAACTGGTGAGAACAAGATGTAGTTCACAGTTAGCGGTAAGATTTAGATAACATGCCTGTACACTCACTGTGTGATCGCTCTTAGTGATACAGTCATGGGGGAGACAGAAGATTTATCTGCTTTGCAAACAGTGCCTGGTACATTCATGCGTTCTAAGTCCTCCTGCTGTAACTGGCTTTATTTATCTTTGTTTTGGCGATAGAGTGTGTGCACTTGCTGGAGAGAGGGAAAGTGAGAAATTACCCACCAGGGAGATGGCCACGTTGCAGCCCCTTCTCCTCCATTCTCCTCTCAGGATTTTGGGCATGCGTACACACATGCACATGATTTCCAAGCCACTGGGTCCAGGGCTTGAATCACAGTTGGCCATATGGGAGCCTAGCACCTTCACTACCACACCATCTGCTGGCCCCTGTAACTGGCCCTTTACGGACATGTAGGCTGGGAATCATTGCTGCAGAGGTTGCCTTTTGAGCAGTGTATTCTTTTGACTGTCCTCTTGGCCTGTTCTCTGAGAGCAGTTTGGGGTGTGTAGTTCCCCTCACCCCATTTTCACCTTAACTGTCCTGGATACAGATTACTTCTAAGCAGGGTCACTACTCCCTCCGTGACATCAATTCTCAAACTTGCTCAGGAGGCAGAGTGCTCAGAAGTCATGGATTCTTTTCCTTTCTTCTTCTTTTTTTCTGAGATATTTTTGCTATAGGGTGTGTGCACTTGCTGCAGAGACAGAAAGCAAGAAATCACCCCCAAGAGGGATTGCTACACCAAAATCCCCTCTCCTGCATTCTCCTCTTGGGATCTCAAGCATGTACTCACATGTGCCCTGCATGAGGTTTAAGCCACTGGGTCTGGGACTTGAACCATTATCGACTACGTGGGATCCAGTGATGGAACCATTACGCCATCTGCTGATCCCCGGAAGCCAGGCATTCTACAGAACACTTTTTTCTGTTATAGACCTAGGAACGACCTCACCAACAGGAACTATGGCTGTTGTTTGTTCATGAGAAATAGTCATAATAATCCATGCACATTAAAAAAAAGTGTGTGACAGCTGGCTGAGTTCCTCTGCTGTTTACTAACTCACTTTGTTGCTTGAGAGCTCAGAAGAGCAGAAAAATGGTGGCAAGAGCTAAAATAATTAAGCCATGAAAAAAATAAATAAAATCATGGGATTTATTAGCTTACATTGTTTTAGGCAACTGTGAAGGAATTTGCCAGGAACCACTGTTCCCAGTGCAGTGACTCAATATAGGAATTCCTAATTTGCTTTTGAATTTTTTATCATTATTTAATTTTATTTATAATCATCATTTTTAAATTTGACCAGAGAGAGAGAGGGAAAGTGAGAAAGCCAGCAGCCAGTCAGAGACTCAAACTGTGGTCAGCCACGTGAGACCCCAGCGCCCCAACCACCACGCCACCTGCCAGGCCCACTAATTTGTTTTTTAAATATCTGTTACAGGGCTAGCTAGGTGGCATGGTGGTTAAGGAGGCTGGATCCCATATGGCCAATGGCACATTTCAAGTCTCCGCCCTGGCAGATCGAAAAACATGCCAGGCACATGTCCACACGAGCCCATAAAATCCCGAGAGGAGAATGGAGAAGGGATTGTGGTGTGGCCTTTCTCCCTGGGGAATAAATTCTCACTTCCTCTCTCTCTGTCTCCAGTGAGCACACACGCCCTGTAACAAATTTTAAAAAAAAGGTAAAAAGCAGAAGGGTATATTACATACAGCCTCCCAGTCCTTCTCCCAGAAGGCAGCCACCGTTACCAGTTTCTTGTGTGTCCTTCCAGAGCTTTCCTGCACGAGCTTTGTCCACCAGGGCTGTAATGATGAAAGCTGTCTGCCGTGCCCCACACTGTGGTAGCCACCAGCCACGTGTGACTACACAGCACTTGAAATACAGCTAGGGTGACTTGGGAACTGACTTTGTGTAATTTGGATGAATTAAACTTTACACTTAAATAGTCATATGTGGGTAGTAGCTACTGCACCATGCAGTTCTGAGCAGAGAACACGCAGCGCACAGTAGCATAGCGTACGCACCAGACGACATCTTACTTTCTCCATGAAACACCCCTATCTGTCTTGGAGATCGCTTGCTCCAGTCTTTCTCATTTTTAAAACTGCTGCATAAAAATCTCTTGTAATCCACAAAGGTAATCTTTTACCTAGCCTGGAGGACACACTGTAAACTGTCCACATGTGTCCTCACTAAGACAGCTCACGCAGCCCTGGGTTGTCTGCCTCTCCACTTTGACCAGACAGGGCCTGGGTAGCTTGGCACTGATCTGCTCCTACTGGGGACTGGGGGAAATAACATACCATGAGTCACTACTCTAAAATACACTCTCCACCCTCATGGCCCATGCCTGACATTCAGTGGTGACAGTGGCGTTCTTTAGGGTTAATCACAGCTCTTTTTAAGTGGTTCTCTTTTGAAGAGCAAAGTCTCCTAGCAAAGGCAGCAATTAAGAAAGAGCATCTGGGGCTGATGTTGCTTCCCCCACCCCCGGCTAGGAGCGCCAAGGGGCTTTGTGGAGCAATGGGGACTCCGGGGGTGCATCTCACTATCCTCAAACTTGTCCTTCAGTCCATGTGGATCCGTGACTACCTTTGTGCCTTCAGATAGCTTTCCTCGTAGGGGAATTCGGGGGCTGAGAATCTTTCCCGTTTCAAAAGGCCTCTAAAAGAATGAAATTCCACTGATCGGTTTTGGTGTTTAGCCCTGTATAAGCCCTTTCTTCTGGAGATGCCTATGGGAGGCAATAGTCCGGGGGTTGATGTCACATCTGTCCCAGCTCTAAATGACAGAGTATGGGGTGGACACTCAGCATTACTAAAGTGCTAAAATTCAGGAAGTTTCTATATTTCCTAAGGAATCATGTGGGGAAAATGAAGGAACAGTCTACAATTCACCCGGTAATATTCCTGAGTCATTCCTGAATACTAGGCTTGGTGCTAGGCATTGGGAAGAGGGAGTGGGGGCTGCGAGAGGAAGGAGGTGTAACTCTTGCCTTGTCAGGGCCCCTGACCTCATAGAGAATTGTGGTTGTCTTCACAGTGGTAACACCACCTTTCACTATGCTGTCTTTCCAGGTCGCCACTGAAAGAGTGGACTCAGGTTGAGTGAACCTCTAGACCAGGGCTCATCACGTACTGGGGCAGATGGAAGTGTTGGCTCCAAGTCCTGACTCCTTCCTGCATCCATACACTGCCATAGTGCATGTGGTTGGTATGTACTTTCCCATCCCTTGGCTCTGAGCTTGCTCATGCAACGTGCCTGGCCCATGGAATGAAGCAGAAATGAAAGTGTGCCTGTTCCGAGCCTAGGCTGGCTGAGGCTTCCTGAGCTTCTGCTGGTGAGTCCTGTGCTCCCACTTTCGCCATGAGAAGGGCTTCTCCTGCCTCTTCAGTTGAATGGGCACACATGAAAGAGAGCAGCCTGGCTGTCTGGAGATGTGCAGAGAAGCAGAGCCAGCCCAGCCAGCACAGCACTAAAGCACAACCGTAGCACCGGCATGCGGGCCTGCAAGTCATCGTCCCAGCCCCCTGAGCTTCAGGATGGTATTGCCTGTCATGCCAGTAGCTGGCCAATGTGTACAGCCATTCTTTCAGTGTTTATAGGTGCAGCTGCCACAACAGAGACCCAACACAACAGTGGGTTAAATAAGATTG